CTTTATTAGAATTATCCTTCAGGTATGTCATGTATGTTACATTTTTGAAACATGTAATTAAAAAGTACATATTAAAAAAAACATAATAGATTAAATTAATTACCTAAATCGGACCTATGGAAGTTTTTCAAATTTCCAAATTATGTTTTAAGAACATCACAGCTAAAATTGGATTAAATTTTCTGATACCAATTAAAAAAAAATTAGTCTTTGTAAAGTCCTTGTAACATTTTATTGATTTGATTGAATTTAATTTATTTTTAATTTTAAGTTAAAAAAAATACTTGGTGGTATCTTTTGTTGATTTTTACTAAATTCATATTACTGGCAACTCTGAAGAATTGACCGTTACGTTTAAATTATGTAATATCTGAATTTGTTTAAAGTAAATTAAATAATGTTAATTCCATTGGGTCATAATTTATAAAAAAATCACAAAGTAAATAAAAAATTAAGTCCTTAAATATTATGTTCTATTGAATAATAAGTTATTATTAACGGTAGTAAGTTATTTTAAAGAATTACCAAGATAATAAGCTTCCAATAACAAATTTAATTTAAAATCAGTAGATTACAATATCTTAAATAGGCATATATTTTTTGTGATCCTAAAAAGTTAAAGATATTCAAAAGAATTTGGTAACTATTTCAGTAACATTATTAGTAAATATTTGTTTGTTACTCAATTTTATCTGACAAGTTTGTTTACAAAATAAGATTTATTTTGTAAGGAATTTACAAATTAATATTGATTACATTTAGAACTACTTATAAATTTTTAATTTTATATTGTGATTATTTGACAATATTTTACTTAGATTTTTTAATCAATAAGATAATTTACAACATAAACTAATGTACTATTAAAATAGTAATTTATTAATATTTTAAGTATTTACAAAATGCTACATCAGTAGTAGGTTAAAGAATTCGTTAGAAAAGTCGTTGATTTTATCAGAGTGTCAAAGTAGGAGGCCAAGATTAGATATATACAGTACATATACGAGTACAGCCCTATGTTTTGATAAGAATGCCAGATTCCTTCACAATACTACGCCCCAAATAATATTATATGTTTTTGACAAACTTACAACTAAAATATTAATATAATAATAATTTAAAAAACCGAATTAAATACCAGTTAGATTTCCAGAATATTCCATTAATTCTAAAGTCTATTTCAAATTTTAAATAAATACACTTATTTTCGTTAAACAATAAAACTTTAATCACTATCACTAATTTAAGAAAATGTTTGGTCAATGGCGGTTTAAAAATAATTTTTAATGTATTTCAAATATTTATAAAAAGAATATAAAGTAAAGTATGGTATTGCCAGTGTCAAAATGAAATGTTGGAGGATGTGGTTGCGCGCGCGCCGCGCATAGACCACTCGCATAGTTGCCGGTGCGTCTGGCAACACTGGCACGCACTTTTCGCGCATTTTTTATGCTTTTACCGATTCTAGTACTCAGCGCCTATAAGGGCTTCACAAAAAATTTAATGTTTTTAAATATTTTCAGTAAAATATGATCAATTTATGAACACCATGGAGGACCTCACTCTCAGATTGATCTGACAGTTAAAGATCATGAAAATAATTTTTTTTAAGTGGTTTTTTTATTGATTTTTAATATTTTTCTACATAATCAATTAATAATGAATGTGAAAATTCTCATAATCATTTTAATTATAAAAAAATTTGGGACAAATGGCCAAAAAACATACTGCCTGAGTTCACCTCCAGTATTTGTTTGCTTAAATGTCTCTGAATGTAGTCTTTTAAATCATTATTTTTATGGTAAATATTATGAAAATTATAATATAATTTTCAATTAATAATAATTACTTTTGTAAGAAATTATTTGGTAATTATTTAATTGAGAACACATTATACTGCTGACCTATAAAACATGCACTAAGCACTAAATAGTTAAAAGTAATGTCTTCCAAACAATTTATTTTAATTATTGTTTAATAGATTATATTATTTAATAGTTATATTATTTTATTAAATGAAATGCGTTAAAATAAATACCAATACTAGTGATTTAAATAAAGCAACTACTTTATTTTATTTTTTACTTCGGACATTTGGATTATTTTTAAAATTTCATAAATTCTTATTAAGAAGTGTTGCCAATTAAAGCGTTTTTTTTATTAATATATGAAAAATTGTAATGGGCTGTTTGGACAGTTAGTGACTTGATTATTATCCGTTAATTTCAATATCTCTTCAAAAACTTTTCTTTTAGAATTATTTTATATTATTTAAGTAACTATTAATCTATATTAATATAATTAAGTGCAAACACACACTTCTTTGTTACAAGATGTCAGCAAACACATTTTTTAATAACAACACTTACTACACGCTTTCGGTGGTCTATTTTCAAGCTATTCAATTAAGGGGTAAGTAAAATAAAAATAAATTGCTCTGTAAGAAAGGGATAAACAGTAAAATCCAGTAACAGCAAAGTACCAAGGTTGCCATGGTTACTTAAATTCTAATCCAATAGTAAAGGTCCTTCGTTGTTATTTAAGCATTTTAATTTTGACATTTGCAATTAAAAGTTTTAGGGAATGTAGACAAAAATAACATTTATAAAATGTCAACCGATGAAAGCAGACGGAAATTGCTAGGATGCTAGGTAGAGTGATTTAACATGACTTGAAACAAGCGCTAGAAGTGGTAATTGTCTAGCGCTGGCGGATTAAAAATCTTTATCACAGCTTTTCTAATTTTGCTATGAATAAATTAGACTCACTTTAAATTAAATAATAATTTTACTATGTTTGGGCTTGATTTTATAATGAGAAGACATTGCCACATTAAAGACCTTAGTAAAATGATAATATTATTAGATGTTACTTTAACAATGACATCATATTTTAAACGATTCTAAATATTGAACTAACTATCAAACTTTAATTTACCAAATAATGCAAACTATAGACATGTGTAGTAGAAGACAGTGCCTGACAATACAAGGTATACAATGACAGCGGCGTCTCGGTCGTCGCCGCACGCCGCTCGTCGCTCGCCGCCCGCTACTCGCCACTCGCCACTCGCCACTCGCCACTCGCCACTCGCCGAGGAACTAATGATAATTTCGACAATCACAACATTATTGTTTTATATACACGGTGACATACACAATAAAAGTATGTCAAAACTTACCAAACGATTTAAACATATTCTTTGTCTGTTATATCAACTCAGTTATTTTTTACATCACCTCTGTTGGAGTACAGTTAAATGTTAAATAAAAGTAATTATCAATTTTCTTAGACAATCGGTGTGTATAATAATGGTGTTCAATCTCAACGTGTCGTTTGGTCTATTTTGTGGATACTATGTGAGATGTGAGGTGTGAGGGTGTGGGAGCGGGCAGGGGCCACGTG